TATATATATATATAGATGTAAAATGAACATTTAAAATGAATATTTTATTAAGAATAGATATGATACAAGTGAATAATTATTTTATAAATAATTTATTTGTATTTATATTGGTTAATAGAATATCGATTTACGTTTAAAGATGTCCAAAAAAATCAATTTTTTTCTTGCAAATTTACATATGAAATAATTGATTCTAATATTTCAATGTGGAACAAGTAAGATCTTTTATGATATATTTTATATTTTAAAAATTATATATATTTCACACGTTTAAAACCTGAAATATTAATAATTCCGAAACCCATTAATCAAATTAGGATTGCATGAAGATTTTTTTCTCTATTTTTATTTATATTATATTCTTTTTTTATATATTTTTTGTGTTTTCTGTATTATATTTTTATTTTTTTTTTGCATTTGCAATTTGTTTCTTGTATTATTATTTTTCTTTATTATTAAAATATCTGTATACAACGTATACATTGTACGATCCTAATTAATTTCAGATATTCTGATTCATATACGTAATATGTGCTTGTATTATTTCATCTGCATAATATAGAGACCATTGTGATAAATTGACAAATCAATCACAGTAACTATCAAACTAAATTCATCAAATATCAAAATTTAGATTTGACAAGAATTATTTTTGACAAGAAAATTGACATAAAATTATGAAAATACAAAGAGAACAATTAAGAATAGATAAGCTGTATTTGAGCCTTGATTTATTTTTCTATTATTAAAGAAGAGAGAATGCTTTAAACAGTATCATGTCATTGCATCAATCAATCAATTGAATGCTTTAATTTATCTCGTTATATATAATATATATATATAATGGAGATTAGAGTACACTTAAATATTTTTAATAGACATTCCAATTTTCATTCGTTCACTCCAATTTCCTCGAAAACAAATTAATATTGCGCACGAAAAACAAAAAGAAAAAAAAAAAAGAAATTTCGAACGCATTATTGTACCGCGATATTCTATAATTCTACTTTCCATCTAATGAAACGAATTGATAAAAAGAAACACGAACGCATCGTTAACAGCGTATCATTTGTTCATTCTCTTTCTCTATATTTTAATTCATAGAAAGTACAGAGTTTTTGTTCTCTCTCGCGATATTACGGTAAAATTACATTACGTTTCATAGAAGAATCAGGCAACAAAAAAAAAAGCAAAGAGAGGAGAGGGGGAAGAGAAAAGAGGATAACTTATATAAAGATACAAAACGGGATTACCTTATCAATCTTACTCTCTGAAATAATCAAGACGTTTCTGCTCTTCTGAATTTCATTTCACGTTATCCCTCTAAGCGTTGCCCGCGCAAACACCCGTACCTCACCTTACCCATTTGTTAACTTCCTTTTTTTCAGCATTATCGCAACGGAATAACGCGAAAGTTAAACCCGAAATACATCATCCCCTATCTCGATTATGATATTGCTGTTCTTCGAAAGGCAGATCGGTAAACGAAAGATATACGACAGAGCTTCCTAGACAGAGGGAAAAGTTTTATCTGCCGTTTCAGAAATATCAATAACTGATCCCTCGTACAGTTTCTATTCCAACGTGGAAATATACGACCAGACGAAGCTATTCCGCCCTTCGTTCCCCTATACTTGAATACCATACACGGGACATGCTCCAATGTATCCCTTTCAAATCGGAGAGGATGCAACAGTGCAGACGGTCGGAAAGTATTCTATCCCGAAAGATGGCACGTGCCGTCACAAGCGTGGATTTACCGTTTAAAATTCAATTCAAGGTTGCCGTTTGTATAAATTTTTAGTTACCGTCGCCCTCGTTCTAGCGCGATCCCATTCGAACGAAGATCGTCGCTGAGTCAAGTAAGTCGAGATGATACTCGAGAAATCGAGGTCGAAGGAGAAGAGTTAAATTATGATTTCCAAATGAATCCAATCGCGAATATTCGAGCACGATACTCGAACGAATATCTTTCTTTCCTCCCTATCGCGTTATAGTTTCGCACTCGCTTAAAACCACGATGAGAAAGGAATGGGATGGATTCGTTAAACGATTTCGCGAAACGTTTCGATTCGTACAAAAGAGGAAAGTTCAATTAGACGGGCCTTGAGTGTGGTTCACTCATCAAGTGTATTTGTGAAAGTTGCGAATTACAAGAGCAAATAGAAAGCGAGAAACAAGATTTCCATCGATATCTTTGATTACTTCCCTTCTCGTTTCGCGCCAAGCTTCCTAGACATGCACAATTATAATTTTCCATCCTCTCGCAAAATATAGAACACGCCGTGGCGATATCTCCCGTGTACCACGTTTACCGGAAAATCATTGATCGAAATTGGAGGAGAACGGTCTATAAAATTATTCAATTTGATTGTATACACGTTTCATATACACGTATGTATTAATTCCGCTAAATGTATATCGTGACCGTGCCCCATCTCGATGCGCCGTTATTAAACAAGCTTTTAACGAAATCGCGAAATAAACGACGAAGTAAACAATTTCTGTCGTGTCCTTTTTTTATTAAATCGGTAACAATAATTTCATTTTGCCTAGGTGCTATGGCACGACATTCTACCGACATTCTAAAGAATAATTTCATCTTTCGTTTCCTTTTCTTGAGGAGAAAAGAGAGAGAGAGAGAGAGAAAAGAAAAAATGAAAAATACCCGACGAAAACGTATTCTCTCGTCTCCTCGAAAAGCGAAATACTTTCCAATTCCGGAGACGATCGAGACGACACTGAATCTTCGACCGTGACTTTTTCACCGCGACGTCATGTCATAATTTCATCGTGGAAGGTAATACGAAAGGAGCAACTATGGCGGAAAACGAAGGGGGGAGAAGGGCCGCGACAGTATGGTCTTTGCCGCTCGAGATTTATCGAAGCCGAACACCGATGCATTAGCGATGGAAGAGCACGGAAACGAGATGAAGGTAACGAAGCGAGGGAGGAAAATCGACGAGGGTGCTGGAGAAGGGTGGTGGAGGCGGCATCTACCAACCCCTCCAACTCTTAAACAGTTCCCCCCTTTTTAAAGAAGGTCTCTCTCGAGACGTGTTACGAATCAATCGAGATCGAGGGACGATCGATTTATGGATCTCGGATTTAAACGAATTTTCAATTACGCATATCAAAAAATACGTATATCTTTTTATTCTCTGATTATGAGATCAAACATAAAGTTGAAACACGTTCGAATAATGTGCTGATGATAAGCTGATTTCCACGTGGATAAACCAATTCTTTTCGTTTCGGTGAAATACTGTCGAATACTGATTTAATTATCTCTCTTGTTTGATCAGCGATTATTCGTAGTGTTACGACAAAGAATAAAATAAGGGCAGTAACCGATATTTTAAACGTAAATTATCTAAAAATCTCGATACAATGCTCGCATACGAAATGTCATATTATGTTCACAAGCTTATTGTGCATTTCGACGAAAGCGAGTTCGATTTCGTTTAAAAAATATCTTCTCTCCGAGGCAAGCGAGGATATTTAACGATAAAAATCGTGATAAAAATTGCACGTGTCATTTCTAAATCTCGATTAAACTAAAAATCCCTAACCTCTACTCCCGGATTTTACAATTATTCGAGAAATCGTTCGAGCATTTATCTTATAAATATCACGCATATCAAAAACGTTCTTTTTCTTCATTCCTTTCTTATTCTCTTAGACGACGAAGACGAATAAGAGATAAAAACATTCTAACAAATATTCTAATAAATATATAAATTATAAAAATCATTTTCTTTTTTTTTTTTTTTGTTCATCTATAAGGTCAATTTGTCTCGCAGACGTATCACGATATTGGACACATATTCTTGAAGCAACGTTTGTTTTCCTTTTCCTACCGCTATCACCTCTTCGTGAGACGCTTGTTCGCACTTATCGTAATCCATGGTACATTGATTCGTGATCAGACTGAAGGCGAACACGATCAAATCACAATGTCTGGCGGTGATCACTTCGTGGACCGTAGACATTCCTGAAAGGAAACATAAAGAAACATTATAGAATTTTCGATGGGCTGTTCGAAATATATATTCTATTACGATAATTCCACTGACCTACAGCATCGACGCCGATCATTTTTAACATCTTCAGTTCAGCCACGGTCTCGAAATTCGGCCCTCCGATACACGCGTATACACCTTTGTGCACGATGTCGCTTATGCCCATCTCTTTCGCTACCTGTTGACCGATCTTTAAGAGTTCGGCGTTGTAAGCTTTATTCATTGGCGGAAATCTCGGTCCAAATCTGAGAAACACGAAGAGCAACGCGATCGTGATTCATACTGGCGAGGAGATCCGGTAATCGTAGGAAGAAATGCAAGGAGAAACTGGCAAGCATATTCGATGGATTCCATACCAGGAATTGATATAATAAGAAAGGAGGAAGAGGAAGAAAAGTTAGAACGAAAGTATCTCAAGTTTCAAGGGATGGAAGGTTAACGAAAACTCAACCGAGTATGAACTGAGAAGAGGATAGAGAAGAGGAAAAAAAGAAAGATGGAGAAGAAGGTAGACGGAAAAATCGAGGAAGATCTTTAAGTAAATACGTCAATCAGATTCTTTGTGTCGTCGGGTAAATAGTTCATCAATCCGATTCAACGGGTTGTTCCGATGAAATAGATTAATTTTATTCCTTCGACGACCTCAACGATCTCGCACGGCTATCCGTCTCCCACCCTTTTGCCCTTAGGGGGCGAGAACTCGAAGAATCGAGTTCGTCGAGCGGTTCGCAATCTGCGAGCGTCGTCGACGATTTTCCTTCCGGAAACGAGCCCGAAAGCCTTTGTCGATTCGAAGCGGATTCGAATTCATTGCCGTTCACACCGTGAATCTCACTAGCCCGCCTTTCAACCGCTATTTTTTTCTTTCATCCATCATCCCTCCAAGTATTATCTCTCTTTCACCCACTTCTCCTCCCCTACTTTTTCTCGATAAAAAATCGAAGAAACTAATTGACGCTAATTTCTGATGCAAGGAGGATTTTAAGAATCGTACGCAAAAAAAAAAAAAAAAATAATAATAAAATAAAATAAAATAAAACTCCGTAAGAGAATATAAGAGAGTGTGTATATATATAGGTGGCAATACAAAATGGAGTAATGCGACGCGTTTCACGGTACGGCGCGTTGAGGATAAGAGGAACGAGGGAAAGTACCTGTCGTCGTTTGGCCCTTGAAGAGGGTTATTCCCCGCAAAACCCATCATGTTCAGGTGATCCTTCACCATCATAATGTCGCCAACCTTGTATGTGGGATTTAGACCTCCCGCCGCGTTCGTCGCGATCAGATGAGTCACACCTACGAGCTTCATAACTCTTACTGGCATAGCGCACTGCGTTTGGAAAAGGGAAAAAGAAATATAAATATAAACATATAAGTATATTTATATAAATAATCCGAGTGATTAAATTAAACGAAAAAAAAAAAAAAAAAAGAAAATAACTCGATGGATAATGCTGGATTTTATATAATGCTGGAAAATTTTATTTTCAAAGGATGGCGATGTGTATGCATTTGATATAGATTCGTAGAGATTTCAAATACAATGTTACCTTCCAAAGTGGATAACCCTCGTAATAGTGAAATCTGCCTTGCATGCACATAATCGGTACAGAATTCAAATAACCGAAAACCATCTGGCCTCGGTGACCCTTCACAGTGGAGACAGGAAAATGCGGGATTTCTTGATAAGGGATGGACTGCTTATTCTCGAGACAATCGGCCAGCGAACCTGGACACAACTCGTTTTGCTCATTTGATCCTGTTTGGGAATAGAATAACGTTGACTTGTCCCACCACCATTGCCAAGCCATTTCAAAATCCATACTAACTCATTCCAGAACCGCATATGATTCCAAGTTTTGGCTTCAATTTGATCCGGTCCAGCAAATATTGTGCCGCTTCTTGCAGATCCTCGAACGTATATCTGGAAGTATTCGTGTCTGTATATATCAGTACAGTGCGTTGCGGGAATGCACTCCATATTTTTAATAATTTATGCTTTTGACAGGAAACTGTAATATTTTTTATAAAATATTCTTTCTTTACTAATATATAGTACATAAACAATAATTTATGTAAAAAAGAATAAACTACAAAGCGTATGATATACGTTTAATATAAATATTAAATCGACTTTCATATATTTCATAGATTCGCAATACCAATCTTTAATATCTTCTTTATGTTGGCATTGTAATCGTAAGAAAACAAATTCATTGTATTACGAATAATTTTTGAATAAATTTAATTTTCACGTACGATAATGCGTGAATCAATCAATGTTCGTAAATCGGCTCATATGATTTATTGCGAAAAATAAATAACATTTATTAGATTGATCTACGTGTTCCCTTCATATTAATCCTAATTGAAAATTTATGGGGAACATTGGACACGATGGATTTTTTCGAACAATCATTTATATTCAAAAAGTTTATAATTATGTCGAATACGTGGAATAATATAAAGGAAAATATAATCAAAAATTTCATTAACGGTAAATCAAATCTTTTATATTAATTCGTGGCAGAAATATAATAAATTACTAAATTTTATGATATAATTTTTATAATATAAAAACAAGATAAAACAATTTTATTCAAACAGTTGGTATATTTGATTTTATATGAGTGAAAATCAACTTTTACGAAGCACAGTTTAATTTACGTTAAGATGTCAAATTTTTATTTCTTTTCATAAATTGTTATTTATTACGCGATACCGAGAAATATTAGCCAATTTCTTCTATCGATAGCTCGAATCCGTTAAAAATACGTGATATTGATATATTTATGCAATATATGTATGATCGAATAACATAATTGCATAAATCATAATTACGCAAAAATTATATAAGCAAATATTTTCGCGTAAAAAAAAAATTGTTTTCATCGATTCAGTTTCACACAGATCAACGCCACGAACGTATGAAAATAATCGGAGTATTTGGGAATAATCGATGTGAGTTAGGTGAACGGGAGAGTAGGTGGAATGATTCGTAGCCGGCCAACATAATTTCACTGTGGAAACTATCACAAAACGGTGCAGTTACCTGTTAAACTGCTAACAGGCTCAAATAGCGCCGGATTTAAGCTGAATGTAGGCTTCGAGGGTATTACAAATCATGCATCGAAATACGCGGGCGGCCGCGTAACGTGTTTACGAGTGTGTATGCGCATCCCGTGCATCTAGCCTCGTGTATGCGTTCACGCGTGCGCTCGTGAACAGCCTCCACGCACAGATGCACACACAGAATTTCCGAATGGCATTCGAATAAGCGCGCCTCCAACATAACACTACGCGCGACGCGATCGAAAATTACTTACGATCCCACTGTGAATTTTAATGTCCTCTGTGTTCCTTCTTCCCTTCTTCTTTTTTTTTTCTTTTTTTTGTAATTCATCGTAACACCCGCAAAAGGTAAAAAGATTCTCGTTTCGATTCTTGTCCCCAGAAATCTCGCGACCGAAGAAGCGAAACGAGTCCGAGGATAAGGGACGCTGTAATCGCTATCCATTTTTTCGTGCCTCGGATTATCGCGAGCCCTCCGTGATTCTCGTCTGCGTTTCCTCTGCGTTTCGCAAGCGGAAATTTAATAAGCGGAAAGAAAGAGGCGGCGATAAGACGAGACGCGCGCACGGTTGACGCGCGTAATCGCTGCGCGTACGTGTGTCGTCATAAGGGACATGAAATTATGATGCGATTGAATACACGTTGAATACGCGTTGAATTGCATCTCCGTTGCCAATACAGTCGGTATTCAACCGCGGATCTGAGAATTGCTTCGCAGTTTCGCCGTGGAAAAGCTTCGATATATTGCCGCGGGTATGGCAAACGTCATTAGACCAACCGCATTCGCGGATGCTCCATCGTAAAACGGGATTGTACGGTGGCCCGTTATGAATGGCAAATGTAAGGTCGACGATTATTATAACGACGTGAATGCGCATCGCTCCGGGCCATGGCAAGGATTCAATGATGCCTCCGCGATTCTGCCTACAATATCACTCGCTCTAATCTCGATTATAGATGCACACCATGCTCGGAAATCGGCTTAAGGCATTTTTCTTCTCTCCATTTATCCCAGATTCCCTTATTGTTCGAGACACTGATTTTTGTAGAAAATATTTAAGATCCCCGCTTACTTCACATCACCGCGTCGGATACCGCGTCGCGATAAAACTCACGTTTCGGGAATATTCTCAAATCGTGCGTTCGTTTCGCGAGAAACAGTCGTCTCAAGCAACGACTCTGACGAGCGATATCGAACGCGTAACTAAAGAGAGAGAAATAAAACCGAATCGGACAGATGTTAATATCAAATCGACGCGAGCCGACAATGAATTTGAGCATTTGAGCACGCGAGGAAAAGAATCGAGGATAGAAAAAGAAATTCGACGTGCAATTTTTACGCCGCTTCCCCGATTCTGATTATCGGAAATCTGCCGCGATTCGTCGATCGATGAAACAGAATAGTATCGATTGATCGATCATCACCAATCTCACCGATCTTTCGTTCAATTGAAATAGCCTTCGAATCAATTGCGGAGCAAGAAGAAATATTCCGATAACAAACGATCGTAATAAATCCTAATAGATGCACACGAGTGAGTCGTATTTTACCCGATGATAATGATGCAACGGATTATTACGAAACGATTACGAAGACAAAGAAATTGCGCCGATAAAGTGGCGACGATTGAAGCTGTCGAATCGACCTCTGTTTCCCTCCCTTTTCCCTCCACCAGCTTTCCCAACGCTGTTTACCGAAATGTCAACGTCATCACGCCATTTACGTTTAATTCCTGTTTGCGTTTGTCCCAAGCGCAGCTTTCGAGTTTCGCGCCAGCTCCCTTCGTTTGCTCGATTGAATAAACAAAATCAAAGTATGAACACTCGCAACTTCTAATTGGATGTTTCAAAACACACCGAACTTGCGCGTGGACGTTCGCCTACATATCTCTGACGTGCTCTTCAACGAAGTACGAATAGACAAATTTCTCTCTCTAACTAACTAACATCGAAACACTCGTCCAAGAGCGATGGGATGAATACCGTTTCCCTTTCTACGGGAATAACAAGCGAGGGGAGGAGAAAATGTAAAAAAAAAAGAGGGGGGAAATGGAAAAGGGAAAATGGGATTTCGAAGAAAAAAAGAAATCCATAAGTAACGAACCGCTCTTTGCTTAATCCGGCTTTCGCTTCGAGCAAACTATTATATTAACGATGCATCGACTCAAATTTTCAACGTCTCGATTTTCTTCTCGAGCTTCTCCGACTTTTTTTTAACGATGTTCCATTCTCTCCATCACGAAATATTGAAAGAATATTAATGTACGCCACGTTAAGTCAAAAGTTCACGGTCGCGTGTGTCGTTTTCTGAGAAAATTCTTATTTATATAGCGATTGCGTGTTAAATATTGTCGTCGTAGACTCGAGATAACTTATTGTAACTTAATTAAAGTTTCGGGATTAAATGATGTGTGCTTCGATATGTCGATGTCATATGTCATTGGCATAGTGGTTTAGAAATCCAAAAACTAGGTAAAATTCATTCGAATAAATATAATATATCGTGTTATCATAATATATTAATATACGAGCGTGTAATCATGTCTTGGTAAAAAAAATAGTTAAATTGTTATCAAAATTATAAGCAAAAACGTGTTGTTGTATCTTTATATAGTTATATAATAATTGTGTTTGTTTATTGATTACCACAATAAAAAGTGAAAGATGTAAAAATATTTCTAAATTTGAGTGAATGAATGAATCACAGAAAGTATGATAGCAAAAAGAATAATAAAGAAAATATATTTTTAATATTAGATAATATATATATCCTAGTGTTTTCGCATCGTTGATTAACCGAAATTTCTGTAACAATTGTTTGACCCATTTAACCCATTTACAATTAATAACAATTTTCAACGTTAATGAATCCTCTGAAAAGCAATTCCCCGTAAGTGGAGGTTCTGATATGTTTCCACGAATTGCGTGTAACTGACTTAGTTCTCGTAAAAACTTGACGCAGTCAACGTAATCAACATTAACGATTTTATCTAAAATTCAACAAGTGGAAGAATTGTGAAACAATTTTTAATCTTTCAAGAGAAAAGCCATCTTTAACTTAATTCTTATTAATATTAATATTTAACTTAATTCTATTGTTTCATTCAATAAGCTACTTACGTGCTGTGCGATGATTCTTCAACCGTTTGCAACAATTCGTTATTTTTAGATTGTTTCAATTGCGGGTGATGATTGTACCCATTAATAGTTTCGGTATCCGCGAAAGGCATCCTGTTTTTCTCAATCCCTTCCCCGATTCGAATTTTATATTTTACGCTAGACGATAAAAACCCGATAAAAACCGATCGAATCGATGAAACAACGAGAAGAGATAATCGAAATAAGATAAGGAAACTGTGAGTGAATGAACAAATACCGAAATACCGTGCACGCCGTTTAAGAAAGATCTGACTTGTGGCCGCGATGACTCGGCTTCTTGCTGTTTTATACAGATACTCGATACCGTTGAAAAAAACAGTGACGACAATGAACCGGCCAATCGTTTCGAACGTTTACTCGCGCTCCCTCCATTCCTCGTGAAGATTGATCAAAAAATCGCTGGGAGGTAGGGGCATGCGACGATAACCCATTACAGTTAAATAGTCTAATTTCAACCGCCATTCGTGCACTCTGTTATTTGTTTCGTGTGACAATACCAAGAATGACAGTACAGCTAGTCTTCTAAAAGAGTACGCATGCCGACGAATGCCACATGCTGTTGATAAAACCTATCGTTCCCTATATGAGCATAACATAACGTTTATCTGAGGAAAGCTTGCCTCTCCACAGAAAGCAAAGTTTCACGATGCCTAAAAAGTCACGGTGATTTCGATGATCGACGCGACAAATTAAGGCCGGTGAGGATATAATTTCCTCTTCGATTGCAATCGTTCGATGAACGATGCTCGTGTCAATTTCCTTTCGATAAATTTTGCGAAGAAAAAAATGACACCATGGTCGTACAAGATGTCTAAATTGCTCGTAACTTAGAAACGAGCCTCGTTCAACATACTTATTTCCGTATACGAACATTTTCCATCGAGCGTCCTGAATTTCAATAATCGTTGAGTACAACGTCGTTGAGTATATAATGAAGTGAAGTGTTTATCTCCTTATTTCTTTCAATTCGAATTAACCGTTATCTCTAGAAGATCTCTGAAGATCCGAAGATCGTGCTTAACTCGATATCGGATAATCAAATCTTCGTTGAACCTGTAACGATCTTCGATAATCACATGTAATCGTACGTTTGAACGATTCTTATCTTTCTTCTTAACGATACGAACAGGAAGGAAAATTGATAAATTCGATCTAAACATATGTCTCGCGATTGAAGATAAAAATAAATCCTATCTCAACAGGAACAAATGAAACGATCCGGAGCAATCGTGGACGGAAGCGCACAACCAAACTGTTGCTGGCGCGCACCTCGAATTTATCCGAATATTAATTACGATCCAGTTGATGTTTCCCACTTGACCGCATCGTATCGAGGAATCCCATGACAGATTTACATGCATCCGGCCGATGACACGTGTGCCAATTTGCGAGGATACGAATTTTGGCCAGCTCCTAGTGCTCCGTGTAATGAGCCAATTATGGCCGATTAACAGGCCTCGTACACGATCCAAAATTTAATTCTCGACCCCTCTCGAGTTATGTACGTGCCCTGCTATTTTTGAAAATCTCTCTATTAATATAGTACGAGCAAAATTGTGACTTGATCGATTGGTGATTCAATCGATTCCATTACAAAAAAACAAAAAGAAAAAAAAAAGGAATAATTCTAACCCTTTCCGCCACGATTTGAGTACTTTGCAACTTTCCACGCGGAATATACAATTATATTAAGGATTAAGTTTCGAAACGAAAACGTCTTGATTCGTGATCGAAGTGAAAGATGATTATTTGCAAAATACGATATAAGAATTTTCTTCGGATACAAGAAGGAACATGGTGTCAATGATTGATGACGATATTCAACATCGGGAAAAACAATCATTCTAAAATAAACAATCTTATCGCCATTGATTGTCGACAATTGCAAACAAGTAAAATGAAAGTGAATAATCGCGTGAACTAGATTTTCGTTAACATATTTCTTCATTCCTATAATATAATCTTACACTTTTTAATAATTGTTCTTTAAAATATTTGTTAATATTTGTTAATTATCCTATTAATTGCATGACGATTTTTTTTCTAATCTAATTCTTAACACGATTCAAGTATTTTTCAATTTTTTTTATAATTATTTATTTATTTAGTTCTCTCTCAATTTTGTCAACTATCGTATTAACTATGCAATTATTTTCTTTTTAATCTAATTCTTAATACGATAAATAGCAAAGGAAAAAATAGAGAATTATTAACAGGAAAAAAAATTGAAACATGTATCGTATTTGTATTTTTCGAGAAATTTTAAAAAAAAATATTCCCTTGAAATAAATAAAAGAAAATTTTGAAAATCTTTTGTTATCATTATTATAAAATCGATTAATCTCTTCGGTAATTGTTGCATGGTATAATCGTTTTATGAAAGTAATTCAACATGAACGATGGAAACAGTAGAAAAATTTACGAGAAATTCAAAAATGGAATTGATAAAGTATTTATGATTATAAGTTATTCCTAAATCAATGAAAACAGTAGTTTCATATCAATAACAAAGTTATTCTTCCACAATATGAATTGACATAATATCTATTTTTATTACATGCTCGAGACATATTATTATTCTACAAAAAAATATATTTTACCGACTATTTTAAAGATTTATAAATACAAAAGAAATATGTTGATAATTTTATAAATTTTAGAAACAATTAAGAATGTTTGAAATTCTTTTATTCATCTGCTCTTTTCTGTTACTTAATTTGTTCTATTCAACGACATATCAAATCGAAACAACGTCACAATTTAATCAAAATAAAAAATGCAGCAACGCGAGCGAATCGAAAAGATGTAAATCGAGCCGCAACTTGCAAATTACGGTAGCCAACATAGAGGGTGAAACGGGGGTCAAAATACACGTGAACAACGCGGCTTCGAATAGACTGTAAATTCAGTTTTCACCGGTCTTCTCCCTCGTGAGTCCGGAAGCTACTTTGCGATGCAACGAGTGATGCATAATTTCGCTGATCGCCCACAAAGAACGTCTGCCTTTTGCCCTAAAACAAATTTTTGCCGCGTCAGGGACAGATTTTCAGTGTCGTCAAAGTTTTTTAATTGTGGTTGAGATAAAAATAGAGAAAGAAAAGAAAGAAGAAAAAACGAACAAAGATTCGGAAAAAAAGATATTTGATTCATTGAAATTCAAATTCGAACAATAGTACGTGCGCATAAAACAAACATCGAATAGAGTAACATGTCAAATTTTAATTTGTTTACACGCGATATTATAATCGAATTGGATCGATGTTATATAAACTAGACAGAATCACCTAATTAACGCGTTCAGCGTTAGGATATGGATCATATTTGCTAGTTGATTGTCGTTCAACGCGTAACAGTTAACGAATCAATTCGATACATAAGTGCTTATTAATCTTAATAAATAGTGTTCTTAAATAGTATTCTTAATATTGCAAAATCATTTCCATTTTCAATAAATGTCTATTATAAATCAATTTTAATTATAAGAACTTTAATTATACATCAATAAAAAATAATAATTGATAAATTGTGAATTCAGGTCACAATGACTGAATTCATAAATCTCTTCTTTTCATGTTTCCTCTTATTGAAAATTCTGATTAATTCGATGATATTTAATTCAATTAGAAAATTAAGAATCATTCAATAAGAGAATATTCAGGAAATAACCTAATTTGTTTATGCAAAACTCTTGTTTTCTTAAAAACATTATCATTAAAAAAATAATGTTCAGAATAGAAAATTAATATTTTTTATATCATGAAGTAACATGATAAAAAGTCAAAATATCAATCTATTAAAAATTGATTTATTTTTTAACCAAATACTTTTTACTCTAAAATTTCGAATCTTCTTTTAAAATTTTATCAATATTTTGAATTTTTCTGCGTCAGATCTATCATTAAAATATTTGTCTCCTTTTTATTTTTCTAGTTTTTTTCACATATTATGTAAAATTTAAAAATTTAATCAAGAATATTCCAGAAACATGTACATCGAATAATGATGTACATATAATGATGAACTTACACAAGACGCAACAAATACGCATATTTGTTATCATTATATCGACTGACGAAACTTCATTATAATTCAAATAAGCGCGAATAGTTCTTATGTACTCACTATTATGCAAGCATTCAGAATCATTATTTGTAAACTATCATTATTGTAAAATATCATATATATATATATATAATTTATTATAATATATATAAATATAAATTAACATATAAATTAATAGCAAGAAATAAAATAATTAATTATTTAATTCTATTTATTATACTAGAAAATTCAAATTATACAATGTCCCAAAAAATGGAACATTCATTAATTGGAGATTCTTGAAGTAATTTCAAAATTTTTTTTGCAAAAATTTTCATTTCAGTTTTAACAAATTATTAACAAAAAACACTGACCAATTATGTAGCTTAGTCAAGTCACGAGATATATATTCAACACACTTTCTTCAACATATATTATTTGAATTTGTTTGTGCAAGGTTGGCAACACATAACCAACACTACTACCGCAGCTCGATTAGACTACACGTTTCATGATTGGTCAGTGTTTTCTGTTAATAATTTATTAGTTGTAATGAAAGTTTTTGCAAAGAAAAATACTATTTAAAATTATCTCAAAATGTCTAATCGATGTTCTCACATTTTTCAAACATTTTTATTATTTTTATATAATAATTTCGTGCCAACATTGTTAATACACTATTTTTGAACAAATCAAATACGAAAAAAATAAAATTATTTTTTATTAAAAATTTCTTCTTAAAATAATTTTTATATAATATATAGCTATTAGTATATAAATAATTAATCTATTAATATATAGATAATTTATATATAGCTATCGCACAAAAATGTAAAATGAAAGATTAGAAAAGTTTAACGAAAAAAAAAAATTTCCATTTTTTCAGCAATTAATGACTACTAAAGTTAATTCTCGATATAATATTTATGTATTGTTGCTTTAATCGCATTTAAAGATAATTATAAGTATCGTATTACGAAATTTCCCGACCCTCACGATTGATTAAGAATGATCTGCTGGGGTTCTGATTTATCATTGACCTCCAATAAATTATCACTAGTGAGAATTAAAAAATATAATCTTCTGTCAATATTATGCGAATTGTTTAAATAATTGGCATTCATTAGATTGTACTATTAACACAAACGACTTTATATTGTATAAAATAATATAATTTCATTTAGAGATCGGAAATATTTTTATTAGTTTAATCACTAAAGTGCTATTTTCAAGAGGAGAAATATATTTTTTAATCCTTAATTTTGAATTAATTCACTATTTATTTTTTCACTTATTAATCACTTATTAAGTAAAAAATTGTACTTTTTGCAGTTAAAATAAAATAAAATTTGCAATTAAAATAAAATTTAAAATAAAAAAGATATCGTATGCATTTACAATTCTCATTTTTTTTTTCTTTTGATTTTTCACAATATAAAAATTTTTAAAATTTTTAAAATAGCAACTTAATTTATTTTATTGTATGTCTTAATAAAAATAATCAGAAACAAAAATCAACTTAACTTTTTATTTAATTAATTAGAAAACTTAATTTTTTTCCTTGATACGTAAGAGTTTTTAATTTAAATGTTATGTTTTTCAATCTTATGAAAACTAAACACTGAACATCAAAACTCTATCTAACTTGAAACTATTTGATAATAAAGAGATGAAACTATTCGTCAAATTATATATATAGTAACTCCATCTATTGGTATTTTATTATAAATGGTACATGCATGCCAGTAACTATAACTACAGACGTTATCTAATATGAAACAAATAAATCTAATCATCAGATGATATACATGTTCCATCTATCGGTTTATTGTCGTATTAAAATATGTAAGCCAGTAAATTATAATTTCTTATATATTTACGACATGTTCGTAAGTTAATTAAAACTATTGATATTTTGAGTTATTTAGTTGTTGCATATTTTAACTTCTTATATATAAAACTTAATATCTTTATAAAATCTTAATAATATAAATATAACTATTGTATTGTATTATTTATACAATACAATATGTGTAAAATTTGCACGTAATATTAGGTAAATTTGATACAATATTTCTCTGGATAATATTTTAATGTTATTTACATAAAATGCTTTTACTTTTATTGTCCAATAAATGATTTTATGTCATAAATATTCTAAGGATAAGAAACGTAATTATATTCAAAATATTCAATAAAACAAATAGTGCAAACTATTTCCAAATAGTAGAATTAAACATGTCAACATTGGAAAATAAGATTTTAGGCGAAAAATTACATTATTATTGTAGTAGTTCTAGTGAAGATGAAGAAAATGATTCTGCAGATTCTGATAAAGAAACAGAGGATGAAAAATATCCACAAATAATTACAAATTCTTCTATAGAACCATCATTTTCAGAATGGGATGGTACTTCTAGCAACACAGGACCAAAGGGTGTTATAAAAGTAAAATTAAGATTGTAATATGTAATATAAATTTTTAATCAATACCTATTTTAGTAAATATATTTTAATCTTATTTCAAGGATTGGCAACGATACAAACAGTTGCAAGCAGAAAAAAGAAATGAACAAGACAAGGAAAGAATTAAATTAATAAAAAAATTGAGTTTAACATGTCGTAGTTCTTTAGATGAAGAAAAAGAAAAAATCATGCAAACTGATCCTGATCTTGCTGAATTATTAACTGATGAGTTTCTTTTAGAATATCAAAAACAAAGAATGAAAGAAATGCTTGCAAAAACTGAGAAACTTCGTTTTGGCAGAATAATTAATTTAGAAACTGCAGATCAATTTTTAGAAGCAGTTGACAATGAAGAAAAATCAATAACAATTGTTGTTCATATTTATGAAAATAATATTCCTGGTTGTGAAGCTATGAATGGGTCTTTAATATCTGTTGCAGATGATTATCCCTATGTAAAATTTTGTAAAATTTTAGGTTTGGTCTCAAAATATTTTTCTTTTATATAATTTAAATTTAAATTGTATATAATATTATTTTTGTTACAGGTTCAGTAGCTGGACTCAGTAAACATTTTAAAAAAGAAGGAGTTCCAGCTTTATTAGTTTATAAAGCTGGTCAAATAATAGGTAATTTTGTTCATATAACAGATTATTTAGGAGAAGATTTTTATGCCTCTGATGTTGAAACCTTTTTAATTGAACATGGAATGCTTACTGATAAAAATTGTATACCTGTTATAACTATACAAGATAAACATACATTATCAGATAGTGAATAAATAAAATAAATATATGTTTTTAAATAACTTTAAATATATCCTTCCTATTGATTCCTATTAATTTTAAAATTATTAATAATTCTTATTTATTTTTAAAAAATTTATTTAATTTTAATAATATAATTTATAATTTATTGTATAATGTAATAGAAATGAAAATGAAAATAATATTTTTTATGAATAGAAATATTTATATGAACTCATATATATGTATAAATAAATAAAAATATTTATTCTAGTATAAGATTTATTATATTTATTCTAATATAATATTAGATATAAATTTCCATATAAATATATTTAAAAATTCATTTATTTTTGGACCAGTAAATTAATTTGTTTTTGTTTCTTAATAGCTTTGCAAAAATGTAAATAAGTTTTTAAAATTTCATCATATTCTGTATTCTCTAGTTCTTCATATTGTTTCCTTAAATTTTCTTTTTCTTTAATTTCATTCATTATTGTAAATATTTTTTTATCTATAAATGTATTCAGTGCTTTATATGCATCAATTGTTATTGGAGTTTCCTTGTACATTTTTATAAGACATGACAACTTAAGTATCTTTGCTTGTACTTCTGCAACTTGTGCTTGCAACAATACGTGTTCTGCTTTTTCTAAATAAATTTGACTTACATTTTTGTATTTCAATTCATTCCATTCATTCATTAAAGTTTTACATTTTACAATATCGATTTCATATTGAGCACACAATTCTTCAATCTTATCTTTCCACTGGAATATTTGTATTTCATGTGGCTCAAATATTTTTTTATATATATTAATATCAGTTGATCTTAGAATTTCTTTCATGTTTCCTCCCAATTGTTCATATCTAAAATATAATAATATTATTTTATATTTTTTATTTTATTTTTTTTTTTAATGAAATAAATTTTAAATTTATCATAATATTACTACCTTAATATAAATTCATGTATTTTTTCTCGTAACAATGTTTCCACATAACATTTAGTATCTAACATTTCTTCATACGTGAGATCATATTTTGGTAAATCAGTGATTCCTAAAATGCTTAATTCTTCTTGCATATTTTTTGAGGTAGATGGTAAATGCATATATTTGTTAAGCTCATGAATCAAAAGTAAACCTTTTAATTTATCAACAACATTATCAGACAATATTCCTTTTACATTTAACAATGTCTCTTTTATACATTCTAAAATTAATTTGCTTTTTATATGTTCTGCTATGTTATCTTCGCAAGAAATAAGACATTTTATAATTTTTTCTAAATAGTTAGATCCTTGATTTGTCATATTCTTACTTATATTGTAAGATAAACTACATTGTTCAAATAAGTTTTGCATTGAATCTATTCTACCAAATATTCGACTACAATTCGTGCGAGAAATTCGTGAAATACTTTGTATGTCTAAAAATAAATAAAATTTTAATTATATATTTATTTATATTTACATTGTATTTTAATTATTAAAATATTTTTTAATTTAAAAGTTATAATCAACTTACATACCTGAAATCTGACTTAAATCACTGAAACTATTCATATTGTCAATAATGAATACTGCTTTAATGACGATTTAATAAAACTGTTTTTTATAGTTCTTTCAAATTCAAACTGATCAAAGAATCAAAGTATTTAAAAAGGATGTGTACTCCTACTTTTATAAATTCCCTATATTGCTATTTTATTAAAAAATTTTTTATAAAGATAATGCAATATTAAAATATACATTTATTTTTATTTATTAATATTGAATAATTTTAATATAATTTTAATTTATTATAATTATGTATAAATATGAAATAAATAAATAAATAAATATATATATATGTATATATATTACATATATATATACATATATATATATGCAAATAAGAAAAATTATAAACTGATTGGATAAAAGGATTAAGGAAACGATACAGGATAAGTAAAAGTTTATATTAGTACGTTTATAGTCGTAAACGTGTTAGTGTCTATTGTCGTGTTTAACCTAAAAAATGGCGGCCAACATTAACGGAGTTTTCACTGAAAATTTACAAAATGCAATACTTCAAAGTAAAGTATTAATTGTGGGTGCTGGTGGAATTGGATGTGAGATATTAAAAAATCTTGTTATGACAGGATTCACTAATATTGAAATAGTATGTACATCAATATTTATTAAAGAATCTTAATAACCTATATATTTTTCTCTCTTTTAATGGTATTCATTGTTATACAAATTTTGAAACCGGTATTTATATTGTTATAATTATATATAATAGAATGTATAATATTATGGTTTTATAACAAAAAAACATTTAAAATTAAATAATTATTTTTGTTACATGATTGTTCATTCATGATTTTCAGATTGATTTAGATACAATTGATGTTAGTAATTTAAATAGACAATTTTTATTTCAAAAAAAACATGTGGGAAAATCAAAAGCAGATGTTGCAAGAGAAACAGCATTAACATTTAATCCTGATGCAAAAATAGTTCATTACCATGATAGTATTACAACGTAAATATTCTTATATGGTTATATATATTAATAAATAGTTTTAAAATAATTTTATAATAAATTATAAATCTTTATTTACAGTTCTGATTATGGAGTATCATTTTTTAAAAAATTTACTTTAGTTATGAATGCTCTTGATAATAGAACAGCTAGAAATCATGTAAATAGAATGTGTTTAGCAGCAGATGTACCATTAATTGAATCTGGTACAGCTGGTTATGAAGGTCAGGTGGAACTTATAAAAAAAGGATTAAGTCAATGTTATGAATGCACACCAAAAGCTACACAAAAAACTTTCCCAGGTTGTACAATTCGTAATACACCTAGTGAACCAATTCATTGCATAGTATGGGCAAAACATTTATTCAAGTAAGTTTATAAATTAATTTTTCTCTTAAAAAAATATATATATAAATGTATAAATATAATATATAATATATATAAAATATATAATATATAATATATATAAATTTTTAAATTTATAGTCAATTATTTGGTGAAGAAGATCCTGATCAAGATGTTTCTCCAGATACTGCTGACCCAGAAGCAGCAGGTAAGGATAATATTTAAATAATATTAAAAAATATATATAATATATATGTACATAAAAATGATGTATTATAGATTCTGCAGGTCAAAATGCTTTAAATTCAGAATCAAATGAAAAAGGAAATGTTGATAGAACATCAACTAAAATTTGGGCACAATCATGTAATTATGATCCAGAAAAATTATTTACAAAATTATTTCATGATGATATAAAATACTTATTAAGTATGGATAATTTATGGAAGAAAAGAAGACCACCTATTCCTTTAAATTGGAAAGAATTACCAGATGGAGGTTTGTAGAATAATTATTTTAAACTTATGTTTTATTAAAGACAATTATATTTTCTTAAATTTTTTCATAATACAGTACCAGGTTGCAGTAAAGAAATTAATGAACCTGGTTTAAAAGATCAGCAACGATGGAGTATTTCTAAATGTGGAAAAATATTTGCTGAATCAATCAAAAGTTTAAGCAATACTTTAAAAGTTTCACAAGAAAAATCATCAAATAATCATTTGATTTGGGATAAAGATGATCCAAGTTCAATGGATTTTGTTGCTGCATGTGCTAATATAAGAGCTTACATTTTTGGTATACCTCAAAAAACAAAGTTTGATATAAAATGTAAGAAAATAATCATTATATTCTAAAAATAAAAAAGTTATAAGTTTTTTAACTTTAATTATATTTTATAGCAATGGCAGGAAATATAATTCCTGCAATCGCAACTACAAATGCAATAGTTGCTGGCTTAGTCGTTCTTCATGCATTCCGCATTCTTGAAAATAATTTAAAAGCATGTAGATCTGTATATTTGCGTTCGAAAATGAATCATCGTAATCAATTATTAGTACCAGAGAAAAATGTCAATCCACCAAATCCAAAATGTTATGTATGTGCACCTATGCCAGAAGCCATATTAGCAATAGATACATCTAAAACAACAATTAAAGAATTACTTGAAATAGTATTAAAAAATAGATTAAACATGATTGCTCCAGATGTTATGATAGATGGTACTGGTTCTGTTGTTATTAGTAGTGAGGAAGGAGAAACTGAAGAAAATAATGATAAACTCTTAGAAGAATTAGGAATTAAAGATGGTACCATTCTTAAGGTTGATGATTTTCAACAGAATTATTCATTGACTATAACCATAATTTATAGAGAACGTCCAAGTTTAAAAGGTGATAGTCCTGATTTTCTTATCTTAGCTGATGAAAAAGACCTCAAACCTAAAGAAGACAATGATTTAATAAAACCATCTACTTCAAATGGCCAGGTAATTAAAATAACATATAAATATGTTAATGTTCACGAATTTAAATATGTATACAAATTAAAACTTTTATTCAGGTGGAGTCATCTGAAGAAAATGTAATGATTGTTGAAACTGAAACTGTTTCATTGGATACAGTAAAGAAACGTAAAACTAATTCTCTTGAAGAAACTGTGTCTCCAAAAAAAAGAAAAGTGGAAGTTCATAATGTAGATGATGATATTTCTATTATTGAAAATGATATAACTAATGATACTGGTAATACAAAATCAAACATTAAAATACATAAAAATTCAGAAGATGATGATTGTTTAATTGTGCATGATGATAATTTGCAAACAACTGCAACTTCACAGTAAATGAATTAAATATAAATTGATCAAATTGTTTCAAAGTTAAATTTTTTAAAATTAATATACTGATCAATAAAATTTATATAAAAAAATATATATTTGTACAAAAAAAATACATATGTACCAATTCTAGAAGCAGTTTCATTTTATGTTTAAAATTTTCATATAATTTTATTAATACTATTCATATATAAAAACATTTTTGTTCATAAAAAGTTCATAGTGTATTTGACTAAGAACAAAAAACATATGTATAATATTAATCTTATCTAAATAAAACGTATTTTTATTTTTACAAATATTTATAAAAATACGATATTATGTTTATAGTATGCCATTTTATATATTATAGTTATGGTATACATTTTTATACAAAAACGAATAAATACATTTTTCTTACTACAAAATATTATATTATTTTATTTGATTAAAATTTTTCATATTTTTTATATGCACAACTTATATATTGATTAACATTATAATTATACATTTCGAAATCAATTTTATATTTTTCATATAATTTCAAAACTATATCTTGTGTTAAATTTGCAAAATATTTACATGTGATATCGAAGTTTGTATATCCACCTCGTGTTTCCTCTAACTTGGGAAAATATACTTTATTTTTATCCAAACCAAATTTAGAAAAAATATAATTTATTTGTCCATATGTATAATCATCTAACTTTAAAACGAAATTATATCGTATATTACATATAGCGCAATGTTTATAATATTGAATCCAATGAACATCTTCTTCAGAACTTTGTAAAAGCCATTCCAAAAATTCTTTAAAAGTTGGTATTATCTTTAATCTTCAGAGAAATGAAATATATTAATATATTTAATAAATAATAAAAAAATAATATAATAAATAAATATATTAAAAAACTATTAATAATGAAACAAAATATTTTTATTGTACATAATCATTATACCTTTTATCAGATGTAAATACTCTTTCTCGAAAATTACCAGTTGTCGTATTCGAATGAAATAATTCAGGTCTCGTAAAACGAAATATTTTTTCTGTATAAATCCAAGCTTGTGCAGTATATTTTGTATTATCTGCTATTCGATCTCTAAAAGTTGAAAAAAGTCATTTCATTCAATAATTTAAATATATATTGAAACATTGAAAAATAATATACCTATATGATGATACAAGTCTTTGAAAAGGATGTCGTACCACGAGAAGTTTGAATATTTTTGTGTTATTTGATATAAATTGTAATTCCTTTAATGTTTGTGGTACCAAAATGTCAATTTGTCTATGAATAATTTACAAATTATAATAATCATATCAAAAAATTAATAAGATATAATTACCTATAATAATTTTGTGTGGGTAGACGATTTTTTAAATCTGCAAATAATTTTGTGAAACTTGTTGAAGCTACTTTTCGAATCCAACAATACATTGTTTTATGTTCAGAATTATATAAAAAATGCTTTCTTATTAAAGGAGTTTTTAAATTATATTTTATACATACATTTGAAATTTGTTGCAACATTGTTGCACTTTCCTATTTAAGAGAATATTGATATTGTTTACATATAATTTACATTATATATATATTTTACATTAAAATAATTATATTTAAATAATATAATATAATGAATTACTTACTTGCAAATTAATTGATTCTCCTTTCATTTCATCATATTCTAAAAGTTCTATCTCTAAATTAATTGGTTTTATAACAGATTGAGAAACTAAAGAACATTCTTGCTTTGTTTGATTATTTGCAAAAAACAATGAACTTGAATATTGTGTTAAATAATTCTGTTTTAATCTTAATAAAATAATGTAAATTATAATGTATAAAATAACACACAATATGCATTTTACAAATTGAATTTTAAGTGACATGATTAAAATTGAAATATATATTATAAGTCAACTATCGGGATTAAACATCCGTCTGTATGAACGGAATGAAAGATAAAATTTATCTCTTAGTTTTATAATTTCCTAATTTCCTGTAATGATGAAAAAAAAAATGGAATATCATATTTATAAAAAAGGTAAAAGAGAAACAAAATCAATTTACTTTTTTAAATCTTTACTACGAAATAACGCCAAAAATGTATTATATAAATCAGTGACTTATATTCGCAGTTAGGCTGTTTCTGTAACTAATAATAATATTTTAACAATTATATTAATTTAAGTGATCTATATTGTTAATTGTGAAAATATTTTTTTTTGTAAATGATTATTTTTATAAATTTTTTTTATGTGAAAAGATTGTGAATGATATTAAGTAAATTATTTACTTCTATTATTTTGCAGTATTATAAAAGTAAATTTTTATCGATTTAGGCAGTGATCTTGTCAAATGTTATAATTGTATGAAATTTGATTATGAAAATTCATTCTATTAATGCAAAAACAGATATTATATAATTAGATTGATTCACAATTCAAAATTTTTTATTTACAAAATACTCAAATATCAATACATGTAAAAATTATAAAAATATACAAATAATACTTAAATTGAAATTAGAAATAATAAAAAAAAAATTAGAAAATAAATGAAATGTATTAATCAAAGAATATTGTATTTTTTATAAGTTATTTTTCATTAATAAATGCATAATAAATTTTAATGAATTGTGAATCAATTTTATAATTTCAATTTTATCATATATCGTTTTACAATTACAAACAGATATAATAACAGAAAAATAATTATATTATTTTTACAATTTCATTAATTTTAATACGAATCATTTGACGCTTCTTAATATATTATTTCATAAAAAACAATACTATTTTTTCAATTCTATTAAAAATTATATGTTATATCTAAATATATATGTATGTATATAATTAAAATTTCAAATTATTTTTGTTTGAATTATTAATACAAATAATCGGTAAACACTATTAATTATAAATGTAACGATACATAATTATAAATGTCACGATACCTCGAAAGCCCATACAATATGTGCATGAATGAAAAGTGAAAGAATAAGTGAATGAGGATATTAAGATTAATGAAGATTTTAAAATTTCTTATCTACGATCTCTATATCTATGATGGTGATCACGGGAGGATCGATGATCACTATGACGACTATGTCGACTTGCTGTTCTCCACAAAAATTCATCTACACTTCTTTCATAGCTACGTTTTTCGAGAGCAGAAGCCGCTGCGCTGTAGTCAGGTGGTAATGGTAAACCATCATAATATCTGGGTGGTGGTGGTGGTGGAGGTAAAGAATCATATGGATGTGGTGCAGCATAAGGAGGTAAAGGAGGCAATTGATGTTGCATAGTACGCATATAATCTGCAACATACGCTTCAGCTGCTGCAGCCACACCTAATCCTGGACTACCATATCCTCTATAAATTGTATAATTATTAAAAATAATATATTTAATTTGGGATAATTGTCATATCAAAACATATACGTACTTAGAATAAGGAGAATCACTTCTATTAAACCAAGTAGCATATCGATGATGATGATGATCTCTTGATCCTCTATGTTCATTACCAGCTAAATGAGATCCTCTAGCTAATGAAGCTAAACGAGATCGTGAAGTTAAGAAAAGTCTACGACCTCTACCTCTTGAGCGTAAAAATCTAGGACTACTATTAACAGGCCTATTATCACGATATGAACGAGACTTCGTAATATGTTTTGCTGCTTCCTTAGATTTTCTCAAAATTGGTGTCATTTCAATTCCTAAAAGATTTATCATAAGTTATAAAAAATATATTTTCTTTTATTTATAAGAAAAACTGTACATATATTTTAATTTACCTTCATCTTCTGGAAATAATCTACATAATTCTTCTGCAACTCTTGGCTCAATTTCTTGGCCATCACGTCCAATTTTTACTTGTTTACCATCATTCCATGGATTATATAAATGTAATGTAGCTGTAAATGGTAATTCTTTCCTACATATCCAATCAACTTTAAATACACCACCCAAAGCTTTTGCAGACAATCCAGGTGGTAACACCTAAAATTTATATACACTTCTTTCCTAATAATATATAAAATAAATATCCTTAATGAAAAATATATATTTAATTAAATATACAAACCCAAGAAATTGGTGCTCCATCTCTTCTAGATTCTGTACTTAATCTTGCAAAACCAGCAAACTTTCCTGATTCTTTTACAGAAAATATAAGCAAAACATTCCTTGATTCTCTATAAGCTTGATTTAAATTAGCTTCATTTTGTGGTAATGTACTCCATACTCCTTTAGCTTTTGATAATGTAACATTTTCAGCATTGTTTGATTTTATGATGAAAAATCTGATAAAAAAAACTTTAAGACATGTTCCTGGTATTTATATTATTGTACTTATCTAAACATTTATATAAATAATTTAAGATAATGCTAATTCATATTAATTTTGTATATATGAAATAAAAAGAAATATACATAAAAAAAGAAATAAAAATATTGTATTTTAAAAAGTAGCTAACCTTGCATCCCTAAATAAGTAATTTAATTTTGTAGCATAATCATAGCTCTTAGTAATTCCTTTGCTTTCTTTAGATCTTGCACGTTTTGCTTCAGGACTAGAAGATTTAGAATCTCTGGATCTAGCACGTTTTCCTCTGTTCTTACGATTACGTTTATTATCTCCACGTGAAGATTTTGTGGAAACAGAGCTTATACTTGGTTGACTAGAATCAGAATTTGAACTGCTAGATGAAACTTCACTACGTGTATCATAAGTTTCATCTGCAGCAATTTTTAATTCATCCACTATATCATTTTCGCCGCAGCTCAGATTTAAGTTGTCCCCATCTGTATTATTGTCCATATTTTCACTTTTTATTTGATCACTTTCACTATTGCTCAAATGTATGTTGTCATTTGTCCCGTCATCCAGGCTTTGTATTTCTGGATTTTTCGGGTTTTCTTGTATGAAGCCAATGCAGTTCTGGTGCCTTTAAACTTTTTCTGAAACGCAAATATAAAAAAGTTCTTACTAGATGGATATCCAGTATGCAATAATATTTGTCCAAGAACAATATCATATTTGAATGGATCTTGTAGATTTTATGATAATTATGTAGGAAATAATGTAGTAACATTTTTAGTATATGAGAAGAAAAGTTCAGAAGATTGCACATGAAATCCGATTTAAAGTCACTGTGATAAAAGATTAAAAAGTCCATTTATCAAAAACTTTGATGTTAAAATTGTCCTTATGCAGTTTAATTAAAACATTTATAAGTTTCATAAAAGTTTTCAATATATATCTACTATCACTGCAAGACTTCAAATATTTCTTGCTTCAAATAGATATAAATTATGCCTAATATTCCTAAAGTTTTTGTTTCGCTAGAAACGTTTATGAAAGAAAAAGTTCCTCTTTTTAACAATTCACGAGCATATATGTCCATATATAAGTTAAAAATAAATATGTTTTATATTTAAAGTTGTAGAAATTTTTTTTTCTTTAATTTAAGAATATAGTAACACAATTCTTGTTGCTCTATTAGAACACAAGTATTTCTTTCAAACTTTGTATATAAAAGTTTATTATAAGTAAATAGTCTTGCTAAAATGTATTTTTTTAGCCTATTTAATATAAAAAGGCGAGGAGTCTTCGAGTTTTCTGTATTTCAAATAATAACACATCATGCTCGTTTGACGTCTCTATGCAGTCTTTTAAAACGCGAAGGCTATGCCTAGAAAAGTTCGTTGTAAATTTTATTAATAGCAACATCAGCACCACAAAACATACTCAAAACCATCATTTTCGCCATTGATTTTATTAAAGAAGTTCATATTTTGCAAACATAAGTCTTTGATGTTATAAACCCTTTACGCAGCTCGTACACACTTACGTGCACACTCGTTCTTCACTTAACACACTTCGCACCTCACGCAAGAATGCTCAAAGATTACTATATGTATTTAACATTTATTTCTGTTATTTCTCTGCACGATGTACACAGCAGACTTTCCACAAGGGATTGTGCTTTTTTTCCTTAAAAACACAATATCCAATTATCTCCTCACGGATGAATAAACCATGGCGACCATTATATGACGTGTACGTTATGATCAATAGAAAGAATTAGTCAAAAACTAAAATAGAGTTTTAATTAACTTTGAGAAATATTATTTTTATTATTTTTTATTTTCAAAATTGTATTTATTTACTAACTTACATATGTAATATAAAAATATTTTTTCTTACATATACAAATTAATAAGATTTTGTACAACGATAATATCAAGTTCTTACATATACATATATATGTATTTTTTTTAGATATATAGTATTTTTAATTTATTATTGAAATTCATTATTATCGAAATTTGTATTTATATATTATTGTTTAGCATTGGTACAATACATTTAAATATTAAATTATAAATATAAAGAACATAGAAGAGATAAAATATTTTTCTTTGTATAAAATGTTTTAAAATTAAAATCCCTAGTATTTATGGTCACCATCTTTAAAAAAAGATAACGACCATCTTGGAATCATTTTTCACGGGTTGTTGACACGGGTAGATCACAGCCGGTTGTGAAAGTGCTTCGTGATGTAAAATTAATCATAATTAACTGCCGGAAATAAGTAGTGATTATTTAGGAATTAGAATTAAAAGCAATACTGTAGCAATACTATATGCATTTAAGATTATTGTGTAATAAGTATTATTATACATAAAAATACAAAAAAAATTGTGGAAATAAGCGTCTGTCACGAATATAAGCAATCTTGACAAAGTCGACAGTTAAATCTTATCATATTTAACTAGAATTTTATAAAGAATTATTTTCAAAGTTATATTCGTGTATGTGATAGAAAAATTGTGCTGCTAGAAAAAAGAAGATACGAAACACTAAAAATACATCTTATGAGGAAAAATGGTTTCGTGCACATGGTGACACCTCTGGTTAGTTTATGCTTTCTATAAACAATTTGTCATATTTTATTTAAAAGTAATTTTGATTATATATATGCTTATTTTATAGTTAAATTAAAAATTAATTATAAAGTTATGTTATATAAAGAATTTTTAAATAATAAACACTTATAAATTTTTTATAAGACTTAAATTCATTAGCTGATAGCTTATAATGGCGAAATACAACGTACGTTTACTTTAATTTTTGTAAATATTATTAGATTACTCATTGCGAATTATTGACATTTTATAACATCCACCAATGATTTTTAATGTTTATACATAGCATATAAAGTTTTTATTGCATATAATGAAACACTTTATATTTAAATATATAAATTTATTTTTTAAATAATTGAAATTTCATTTATCTATTAATGTTTATCTTTAAATCTAAGATTAATGTGTTATCATGATAATTATTATTGAAAAATTTGAAATATAGTGCAAATATTTCATTTTTTTATTTAAATTTGAAAGATGATTAATTATTTAAAAATGAGAGATGATTAAGCAAAATTAAAAATTTAAGCAAACATAATATTTTAATATGAGCATATTAAAATATTTAATATACTCATATAATAAAAAAATATATACATTTAATATAAAATTTGCAAATTTATTTTTATTTTCAAAATATATTAAAATAAATAAAATTTATATCTTTTAATATAATTATTATTTATTATATGATAAAATAATTTTTTATTATACTTATATTTTAAATATGAATCATATTAAATATTATTAATATTATTAAAATATAACTTTTAAAAACATTTTTAATCATAAAAATATGTTATATTATTTTTTTAATATATTGAAAATTATTAAAATAATAAATACTATAAAAAATAAATAATATTTATCATATAATAATTGGTTTTACTTTTATTCTTTATTTTTAATTATTAAATAATTTTTTATCTAATAACTAATAATATCATAACAACATTCAAACATAAATATATTATTCCTTATTTAATAATTAATTTATTATTAATTAATTTATTTTTATTATTATCTTATTTATTCATATTTTATTAAATAAATTCTGAGATAATAAATATTAAAGATAATTTTTTAAATGATACTTTTATAATATTTCAAAAAGATTATATAAATGAAAGAAAGTTTGCTACATTAACCATATTATTTATTTTAAGCTACATTTAACTTTAACCTATTATTACAAAGATGAGCACATAATATGCATATATAATAATATATATTAGTATATAATATATAGTATATAATATAATAATAAAACATTCCACTTTTCATACTTCAACTACAGAGAAAGGATTCAAGTATTGATTGCAAGAGCATGGTGTGCTATGGCAATAGGAGGAGGGTGAAGCCCAGACAAGACCCCACCTCTTTATGCTATGCTTTCTATTTAAGTCTTAAATCATTTCAGACAATCACAGTAAATATATCTAATATGTAGCACAATAAAATGTTCTACTAATATTATTATTGAATATGCTCTGTATTTCAAAAATAAATTCTGTGTGTTTAAAAATCAATGATCTAACTTTATGACTATAAATATTAAATTTATATTTAAATATAAAATAATTTTATATATAAATATTTTTAGTGTCAACAATAACTAACTAATACATATAGTAATAATATATTTTGAATTATTTCATGCATAATCAATTATTTTTATATTATGTATATTAATAAAATTTTTTTTCAGATAAAAAAAATAATATATAAAAACATGATAAATATAAAAAATATATGAATGACAATGGGCTGAAATACATTAAATTGTAAAACTCTCATCATTTTTATAAAAGAGAGGTACAGATAATAATGATTTAATAATAATAAAATTATTTTTATAAAAAAATTTTTATATTTAATTTATAAACTACTGAAATAATTTTTAAATGTTATATTATTTTATTTTCTTATTAAAGGAAATAAGTCATGGCAACAGTAGAAGAAAAGAAACGAGTTGGTGGCTCAAAAGTTTCAGCCATTGCAAATATCTTCCAGTCAAAACCACAATTGGATAATCTAAGTCATAGGACAAATAATATTCTATCAGATGGTTTCAAGGAACCAGCTGTGCCTTTAAAAGAATCTCCAACACAAGTTACAGTTGTGAGAACTGAAAGTCATGTAGCTCGATTTAATAATGCACGTGCACTTTTTGAAAAACTTGGAGAAGAAAATAAACCAAATAAACCGTAAGTTTATAAAAATAAATAAATAAATATGAAAAAAAAATATATAAGAAATAATACATATTTAATTATTTTTAAAAACATACTTTTGTATATTTTTGTATAGGGTGGATAGGATTACAAAGCCTAGTAATTTACATGGCTTAAGATCACGTTCTAGCTCTGCAAATTCTGGATCAGGTTGTACATCTCCAGCTAGATCACCACGTCCTAGATCACCATCACCTCCAGGAACCAGAGATCACTTGAGCAATTGGAGTGCAAGTGTACCAACCTTAAATGCTGAAAGACATTTTGAAAATGGTCACAATCATGGTTTAGATAATATACCAGATAAACATAAATCACGAACAGGATTAGGGAAATTTGACAAAAATTATGGCAAAGAAAATCGTTTGGATGATCGACCGGAAAAACCAGAAAAACCAGAAAGAAGATTGAATTCAAAAGAATTAATTGAAAAGCAAAAAAATTGGACTAGTCATTTTTCAAAAACAAGACCAAGTAGATACAATTCAGACCCAAATAGATCTTTAGTTCAAAGTTCATTAAATCAGAGTGCAAATAAAATAAATGTTGAAACTGCTTCTGTAGGACATTTACAAAATACTACAAATACTGATAATGAAACAAAAAGATCAGCAGATATTTCTGCTAATCCAGCCACAAGATCTGCAAGCTTTTGTTCTGTTAGATCATCAGTTATATCTCCACCTCCACCACCACCACCAACAAGAAACTCTTCTACTTCAAATACAAAAAAAGAAAGACCAGCTAGTATAGCAGCAGTATCTCCTCCAGATATTCCTAGTAGTCCAGAATATGCTACCATAAATAAATATTTTGATACTTCATCAACAATACCTGAATATGCAGTTGTACAAAAAAGTACAAATATACAAAATAAAAATTTCCAAAAAAATCAAGAACAACGAGAAATTTCAAAAAATATTTCCAGTCCTATGTTAGAAAAAACACAAGATGTGTCTATGCCAGAATATGCAGTAGTGCAGAAAAATACTACAGCAAAAATACATTGCCGAAATGCTGATACATCAAAAAATAGTTCAACACATCATTCAAAAAATATTAACAATGCTGAAAGTAGTTTATCTCTTAAAAGTACTTTTGCAAGTTCAAGTATTGATATTTATTCACAAACAAAATCACATATTTCCTCCTGTGAAAAAAATTCTGACATATCTAGTCCAACACGAAGTATGTCTATAGAAAATATTATTAGTATGACTGTAGAAAGTAAAACAAAAAAAGATAGCGATTTACTTGATGCTTCTGAATATCTAAACTATCCTTCAAACGTTATACGTTCACCACCTAAAACATCTGAGTGGAGAAATGAATGGTTAGCCAAAAATGATGAAATTTTAAAGAAAGCTACAGATTTAAAATGTGCCAGAGAAGAAATGGAAATTAAAAGCGAAGTTATAAGATCTGATCCACGACCAGATTGGGCAAGACCATGTATAAATACAATGAGAAAAAAAGATAGTTTATCAGAAGAAAAAAAAGTGGAACCGTCAAAATCTCCGGATCCGGAATTGAGACCACCTTCTGGAGGTACGGATAGTGCATCTTCTAGTATGAGCTCTCCTAGCTCTCCTTCTAAGGATAGTAAAGAAGAGAAGGCAGATAAGGAAATGTCAGAAAAGTTTCAAACTGGTATAGTATATATGACTAATTTCCAATAATAT